GTGTCTGACAGGTTTGACTCAATATCACAGTAAAGCAAAGACCCCTGGACACTGAGGATGACACTCTTGGGACATGCAAATGCTGGGGTGGGGGGGGGGAGAAATGTTGCCTCTCTAGCACAGACCATGTACAAGCAAAATAATAAATATACTCTCTTAAAAAGATGTGTGCACACAGGCCAGAATAAAGATTTATGTAGAAATACTTATAAGCACAGCATTTTAGATAAAAACTTGGGAAAATTCAAGTGTTCTAAATGTGTGAATAGATAAAAATATACAGATAAACAAATTCTTCTGTAAAGAGGAATTAATTCACATGGACAAACAAAGAAGTTACTATATAAAATAAGTCAAATGAGAGACAGACAAGAGACAGACAGACAGACAGACACACACACACACAAGAGAATCAATATGGTTTAATCTCACTCATAGGAAACTTTGGGAAATAATCTACATTGAGAGAAAATGGATTATTGCCATGGAAACAAGGGGCAGGAGGAAAGGCTTACCAAGGGGCACACACCAGAAATATTTTGGGGAGGGTATGATAGAGGTGTGCAATAATGTACAATTGCACACATTATAGTAAAACTCCAAAAGATCTATATTGTGACTGCTATAGGATCCTAATAGTATCTCAACACTGTTGTTGTAAAAGTAAAAGCTATACTTAAACTCACTATTATACATGATATAAGAAGGTGGTTCTTGGATTAGAAAAGTCATCCAACTGCCATCTTCTGATGAAAGCCACCCTGGAGTTATTTTTCCAGGCAATAATGAACTTCAAACCTCCAACAAGGAGTCACATTATCTCAACTCTGGATTGGCCACATAAACTCATTGCTTTTAATTCTGAGTATACCTTTTACTTATTTATTTTTCTGGCGCAGCCATCAAACCCAGGGCCTTGTGGATATTAGGTAAAAGCTCTACCACTGAACTACATATTTACCCAGGGAAGGTCTGCACAGTACTGGCCTATCTTTTATCCTAACTTCAACTTACCCAAAGTCCTTTAAGACTACAGAAAAACATGTTCATTGAAAAGGAAAAAAGTAGGGTTATTGCTACAGTTCAAAATTAGCATCTCTCTGGGGCTGGGAAGTGGCTCAGTGGTAGAGTATTTGCCTTGCAAGCATGAGGCCATAGGTTTGATTCCTCAGCACCACATAAGCATAAAAAGCCGGAAATGGAACTGTGACTCAAGTGGTAGAGTGCTAGCCTTGAGCTGAAGAGTTGAGGGACAGTGCCCATGCTGAGTTCAGGCCCCACAACAAAAGCAACAAACAAACAAACAAATAAACGAAACAAAACAAAGAAAAGAGCAAGGAGAGGCAGTAAGAGCTTTCATCAGACTCTCCTTAAACCCCTCATTCTTTTCTTCCTGGAACTGGCCCTTGCATACAAAACAGATGCTCAGATAGACAGCAGGATTATTTGGGTCTTGACTTTCCCTTTTCTTCCTCCTTGTTATCACTCTACACCTCCCCAGTGTTCTCCATGAACTCTTTTAAGTGAAAATCAGAAACATTTACTCCAGTTGTAATCCACAACTATCGGATGGGGTAGCCAGATCCCCCACACTCAACACTGTTGAGGAATGGTGACCGTCAATGTTCTATATGATTTCTTTTTGCTTTTGTGTTTCCGCTCCTATGGTTTATACCTTGTCACTGTGTTCAATGTTGGTACCCTGGGGATTGTATATGCGTTTATATGAACTAGGGAAGGGAAGGGGAACAACAAAACAGTGCGACAGCAAACAAAGGGGAAACCCAGGCAACAGCGATTCTCACAAGACAACATGGTGGAAAGGATCTGTACAACTTGGGGTGGATTGGGGGAAAGGGAAAGAGAGAGAAAAGTAAGGGAAGTGCTAACAAATTGTTGTTCTCTGACTATCCCTTCCCTCCCCCACCCCACCACCCAGAAAAAAGAATGGTGACTCTATTGCAACTTTGGCAAGACCACAAAAACGAATACAAAGCCATGGGAATTGTATGGAACTTTATCCTCTATGTGTTCCAGTGTTTGGTGGGAACCATATGAACCATCTTGTTAGCCCAAATTACTACCAATTTGTTAAGATATTTATGTTAAAATACTTGATACATTTGGTAACACTCTGTTCTAAAAAACAACTCGATCTTGGTTCTATTTATCCTGGTAGAAATGGTGCTTGTCTTCTAATCCACAAAATATATCATATAAAAGCAATTAATAAACATACTCAGAAAATTATGATTGACTAAAAGTTGGCTGAGAGGCATAGACTTCATTTTAAGAAACACTAACAGAACATGGACTAGTTAATCCAATCTTTTTGTGCAAAAAAGGGAAAGCTTTTTGAATAGCAGGTAAATCGTCTCCTTGTACAAACTAAGAGCTACAAAACAATGCCTTCATTTTAGATGATTGAACTTAAATCTTTTCTTTTACAATACAAAATTTGTTCATGGAATTGCCATCACTTAGGCATTGACTCTAGACAGAGTTGATGTTGGATACTGTATGACACAGGAAACTCACAGACATTGCTGCTTGTAGATCTCTGTCAATTTGGCAAACTATTGAATATTCCAAGACTTTCCAAGTTCACCAGTTCAAAAAGCATATGTCTCAAATAATTAATGTACATGTGTGAAAACAGAATGAAGCTTGATGAGACTGGCTTGGGAAGCAGGGAGTAGAAATGAAGAAGAGTGAAGGAGAGGATGATTCTGATCAAGGAATGCACATTATGTGTGGATCTGGAAACCACGACAAAAGCAATTGTGCAAACAACTAATACTTACAAAAAGAAAGAAGATAAAAAGGCTTCCTAGGAAGTTGGCACTTGAGGTGTGTGAGGTCCTCTCCTGGACTGGAGGCTTGTGGAGTTAATTGTGTTCAACAAAGATGTTCACAAAAATAGTTGTAAAGAGCGGAGATAGAGGCCAGGTTCTGGTGTTTATGCCTTGAGCTAGGTACTATGGTGTCTGAAATCTGAAATTGTGGTTCAAAACAACGCCAGGCAAAAAAAAAAGTAGGTAAGACTCTTCTCTCTGATTATGAGCAAAAAACCAGAAGTGGAAGTGTGACTAAAGTGGCAGAGCTCTAGACTCAAGCAAAAAAAGCTAAGGGACAGTGTCTAAGCCCTCAATTCAAACCCACTACTGGCACGCACGCACGCACGCACACACGCACACACACACACACACACACACATATTTTAAAAAAGCAAAAAGACCAGAGCTAGAATCCCTGTGAAATTGTCACAGGCCTACGGTGAAATTCTGAGTGTGATTTAATCATGAAGTAAAATGAGATGAATTCAGCCAGGACCTGAAGGTAAGCTTATGTAGCTCCATCCAGGGCAAGAAGGCATGGCCAAAAGCAAACGAGCAATGTAATACAAACTCAGAAAGAGTGGTTATGCAGTATTTTCCTTCTTACATTGGTCTATCCACTTGTCCTTGGAAAAGTTTGGAAAGAAGATAAAAAGGAGAAAAGAGATCTGTGAAAAACATTCCCTTCTCTCTTGTCTCTGTGGGAACCTAGATGACCACAAATTCTCAAGGGATTCTCTGGGTGTTCTCCTGTGACTGGCTCCAAGTAGACAAACCAAGTCACTGACGTCACTGAAGCCACCCTCTGACAAGCTCTCCCTACTACTGGAGAACACAACAAACAGAAATACTCTGTCCCTTTCATTTTTGCCCTACACAGGCATCTGTACTTGGTTGGCCAGGATGCCCTGGTCACAGGAGAAAGAAGGGTTTCCAGGATGACTTATGGCCAGGAAGGAGTTTGGCTTCCTCCTGGGATGCCACCCTCACTGCATCTCACTCTCTTCTGTGGTCTCATGGAAGATCAGATCAGTGCTATGTCAGCTGCTAGGCCCTCCCAGATGTGACCTGTGCATCAAATTTTATTTAACTAAATGGCATGTCCACTCTGATCACACACATATGTCATAGATGCTGACTCTCTATGTCTCCAGCTCTGTTATTAGGCTCAGGATTCACAAAAAGAAATAAGAAATAGAGTCTTACTCAAGTTCAGTATTGAAAGACTATGCATGGCCTCACATCAGTGTTTTGGAGGCTGAAGGCACATGTTAGATTCTAGTTCTAGTGACTTCATATGTTCAAGAAGGGGGTTGGACAGACAGGCCTTGACGTGTGGTTCTGTTGCCTTCTGGGTTCATTAATGCCTAGACTCTACTCATAACTTCATTATGATGGAGCATGCTGATGATGGAGGAATCCGTTTCCAAACAAGGTCTCTTTAGCCTAGATGCCTCTTTTCACTTCTCCATGAGATTTAAAAACAACAACAACAGCAGCCATGGAAAGATTGCAGAAGTGAAGTTCCCAAGGAGGAAGGATTAAGGGGAGAAGAGAAAATCAGAAGTTCTGATAAAAGAAAAAGAATATTCCAACATAAAGAAGCACACACATATACACATAATAAGGCACGCAGGCACACATACACACACATACTTCTTTCAGACCTATGAAGCTGATTTTATTGAAAATCTGAAGTGCAATCTTCAAAATGTTACAAATATTATTCTCCTGGAGGCAGTCAAAGACAAGTACTGTTACTGCAATTGGTAAGTACCTATAACAGGAAGATATATCAAATGTCATTCTGTTCTTCAAACAGTAACACAGATGCTACAGGGAGGCAGGTGAACATGGGGTTCATGATGCAAAGCAAGATTATTAAATATATCAGCAAACCACAATGAAAACAATGAATCCTGAGCTGAGCTTTAATCTGAAATCATTCCTGTGCACTGATTCTATGTGTGAAAATTAACTTGGACGCTTCTCATTGTCTTTGGTGTGTTGGACAAAATCGATCTTAAACGACTAGTTCACAGTTCATTACTTATGGGAGAAGGGTAATGGTTTAGTCTCTCTGCAGAACGTTACTTCAAGTGTATGTTATCAAGTTACTCATCATAATTCAGACTCCGTAAATCTTTAAGCGATTTGTATTTATATAGGTATGTAAAAGTAAGTTTAATCTATATTTGAAGACTCCAGAAAATTATTTTGTTCAGCATGAACCATTATAGTGGGGATACTACTGGATTTGACAATGTACTTACTACAAAAAAACACACAAAGATGTAATTTGATATAGGAGTTCAAGGTGATTACACTGCTAACTTTTCTTTTTAAGTAAAGGTGATAAGAAGTAGGTACATTTTATATTACATTCAACTAAGTCACAGATTATCTATCAAGTATCAACATGACAAATTTCCAAACATGACAATTTGCTCTATGTGAGCATATAAAGGTAACTGTGTAGATTTTAAATTGTGAGGATAAATAGATATTCATAATGACATGGTATCTTTAATAGACTATAAAAATGACAATATAGTTGAGACCCTAACTTCATATATAGCCATAATTAGAAAAAATTTAGCTACTGTATATGCTTCTAATCATATCTAATGAGAATCATTCATCTTTAAAATCATGGTATCTTTCATATAAAAGAACAAAAGATCTTAGAAAATAACTACTCATTTTCCAGCAATTAAGCAAACACCCTTTTCTATGCGTGTCTCTGGCTCTCATTGGTATTCCTTCATCAGATAGATAATTTCATCATATACTCTCCAGGCAGCATTCAAGCCCCAGATAAAGTCAATATGATTGTAATCAGGAATTTCCTTGTGGTACACCAAGTTGGGGATCTGAGTCTGTAAGATATGGACGTCAGTGGCATCTGCCAGCCAGTCTCGAGCCCCATTCCATAAGGCTATGGGCACAGTCATGTTTTTCACATTGTACATGGGAGGGTAACTCTACAATAAAAAAAAAGAAAGAAAGGTTTATTATAGTTTTCAAAACTGCAATAATTACATCTCCCGTAAACACTGTTCAATAAGTCTGAACTGAGAATAACAGATTAAATTTTGAAAATTCCTTTAAGTATTAAAGGAGCCATTGCAAGAACAAAATGAAATCTATACCTGGGCACCAGTGGTTCACCCCTGTAATCCTAACTACTCCAGAGGCTGAGATCTAAGGATGAAGGTGCCAAGCTTCAGCAAGAAAGTCCTTGAGACCATTATCTCTTAATAAGCACCAGAAAAACAGAAGTGGTGCTTGGGTTCAAAGTGGTAGAGTGTTATTTTTATGGAAAAAAGATCAAGGGAAGCATTGTTTTCATGAGATACAGAGGGAGCAACTGGCCCATGTAAGGGGAGACTAAGCCAGAGCCTCCTAGTTTCTCCTTTTTGGAAGGAAGATGCAACCTTGTTTCCTCATCTTTTTTTTTAATTGTTGGTGGGTTGTGGGGCTTGAACTCAGGGCCTAATGCTGACCTGAGCATTTTTCCCTCAAGGCTTGTGAGCTAGCAAATTGAGCCACAGTGTCACTCCTAGTTTTCTGGTAGTTATTTCAAGATAAAAGTCTCAAAGACTTTCTTCAAGGGAAGGCTTTGAATCATGATCCTCTGGTCTCAGTCTCCTAAATTTGTAGGATTACAGACAAGAAACATGGCACCAGCTTCTCATCTTTAAGTCAAAGAGAACCATGTCTAACTCACAGGGATGCTGTGAGAAGAAAATAAGAAAACACAGATCAAGTAGCTCACACATTAGTGTACTTGACGCTTAAAGATGCTAATTCTGTCTGTGAGGGGAAGTGCTTACATAATGTCCAAGAACCCACGGCTTGCACAACTGCAATATACGTGGAACTACTTGAGTCTACAGTGTCTGTGCTCATGCCCGCTCTGAATAATGTGTGCCTCTTATCTAGAGTCACCCAAAGGATGGAGAAAGAAAGGCCAGTCCACAACACCACCTGCAAACCTGTGAGCTTCTGGAGAGGACAGAGGGAAATCAAATACCACCTAGGCATTCCTTAGTAGCTAAGCACAGCCACAATCTCAGTAAGGTAGGCTGCTTTCTAGAGGTGTTATTAGGGGGTCCATTTACTTTCAAAGACAGAAATCTTTACCTGGTTGTAGTGTAGGTAGTTTTTGGCACTGCTTCCCCAGTCAAAGGCTTGAAACTTGTTAACTTTTGAAATCTAAGAGTAAAATAAAAAAAACAAATTGACATATCATCAGAGATCACTGGATTAAGCCAAGTCATCAGAATTGAGGAGCTGGGTTGCCACTGCTCACTAAATTGCAAATTAGCTGCCCATCTGCCTCAAAGGCTCAGACTTACTCCTTGCAACTCTGGGAGTGCACACACACCCCAGATCATAGAAATTTGGTCTTTCTGACATAGAGTCTATCAAGTAGCAGTTCAAAACACTCAGAAATGATGTGGAATGTTGCTGTTAGGATATGTGAAGTAAACAAAAGATGATAATCTGAAATGTGACTGAGGGGGATTGTGAGTGCCTAAAAGAAGAGCATGAGTGAACAACAGGACTTTCAAAGGCCCAGGCCATGGCTTAAATTCTAAGTGTGCTCTGTCAGCGTGGTAGGAACAATATGCATTCCAGGTGCTCCTCTTCTAAACCACAGCAAACTCTCATATTTAGCCTTCCAGTCTCTACAAGCTAAGAACTTCAGGCCAGGAAATGACTCCTTATAGCTGATCCAAGAGAGGATTCAGGTCAGTAAGTGTTAAAGCCGTATTTCCAATAGACAGGGCTCTGAGGAAGGAGACTAAATGAACAATGATGTCACACATGAGCATATCCCACACTTGATAAGAAGAGGAATCTCCTAGACAGGTTTTTCCAAAATACAGATTCTCAGGAGCAAAATGTTCACAAAAGAACAAGTACACATACATGAGGTACACAACATAACAAGTCTCAACCAATTGTGATGAGTGAAAAAGCCAGACAAACACATAGTATCTGGCGGCACTAAATCTCTAGAAAATGAAAACTAATCTAAAGTAACAGAAAGCAGCACAGCCATTGGGGTTGGAGAAGAACAGAGGAGAAGGTATTGCAGAAGGACATAAGGACACTTTGGAGGGCTGATGCTATGTTCACTCTCTTGATTGACACAGGGCTTGCAAGTGTACACCTATGGCAAAATGTATCAAGGTGTGTAGTTTGAGGATCATAGTATCATTGAAACTTCAATAATGCTGTTAAAAATCAAAAATACCCCTTCGTATAACTACTTCATAATAATATTACATAAAACTAGTATAAATTCTCCAGTGTAAGTGCATCTGATTTGTGCATACACAGGAATCTATTTTTGTTTTAATACGTTTAAGTAATTGTGAAAAGGGGTTACAATAATGATTAGAAGTACAATGCATCTTTTTTTTGTCAGTCATGGAGTTCAATATCAGGGCCTGGGAACTGTCCCTGAGCTCTTTTGCTCAAGGGTAGTGCTCTACCACTTTAAGCCACAGTTCAATGTCTAGTTTTCTGGTGGTTAATTGAAAATTAGATTTTCACGGGAACTTTTCTGCCTAGACTGGCTCTGAACCTTGATTCTTAGGTCTGAGCCTTCTGAGTATCTAGGATTACAATGTGAGCCTCCAGAGCCCAGCAAAAATATATGTTACTCTCTCATCCTATTATTCAACCATAAGTGGCTATTTAAAAAACTTGCAATTTTAGACATTACCATAAACTCAAATCCCATTATTTTACTGCAATATTTTATTTAAAAATGTCCTTTTCAAGAGCAATCCATTCTAGTGCTATAATACAAGCCACTCGGGAGGCTGATATTTAACCACTGAGGTTCAAAATCAAGCTGGGCAGAAAAGTCTGTGAGACTCATCTCTAATTCCAGAGCTGAAAGTCGGAGATGGAAGTGTGATTCCAGTGGTAGAAATCCATTCTTAAGCTAAAGAAACAAGCATAAGCTAAAGAGACAACTACAAGATTGAGGCCCTGAGTTCAAGCCTCAGTACCAAAACACACACACACACACACAGAGAGAGAGAGAAAGTGATTCTGCCTGCCTGCCTGGTGGTTGGAAATTTTGATGTAAAACACTTATAGTACCATCTTTTTGAGCTTCACAGTAACTTGCTTTATATTTAAAATAAAGTTCCCAGGGGGGCGGAAACTTTTCCAGAGTTGGACATAAGCTCTGAAATAATGTTAAGGAAAAGGGGAAAAACAGTAGAAGAAAAGTAACCTACTTGTACATCTACTGCTGTGTTAAGGTATATACCAGAATGCAGAGACATCTCCTAACTCTAAATACACATCTCTAAATACACATCTGTGAATAACTATAGAAAAATTATTACATTAAAAGATAATGCTCCTATTTTGCTAATATATGATCTGGAACAGATCTGCATTACTTCAGTGATAAAAAATAAGCAAAACTCTATTTGCAAAGTTAGTGATTCCCCTCCCTGCTCATGCTTGGTGTGGTTCTGTTACTCACTGACATTCTAAACATATCCTTTCCACAGCTGACTGTTGAAATAGCAGCACCCTATCTCCACTGCTACTCCAAAATCATGCTTTATGAAACAACACAGGAATAAAATAAACCTGTGAATCAATGACAGACAGATGGAGAGGAAGAAAAGAAAAGCAGAAGTAAATAGCTAACTGAGAAGTAAAGAAAGGACAAGGCAGGGGAAGAGAGGAAGATGACACAAGACAAACCTCAGAGCTGTTGGATGATCTCACATGTAACATGTGTGCATCATACAGGGAAACACAGACAACACAAACACAGTGACCAGACCAGGAAGGAAACCAGATCAAACTTTTACATAGAATGTCTTTCAGTGTGACAAGCTGGAGAGAGAGGTACATGGATGGATACTTGCAATTTTCCAACAACTGGATTTTCCCATACAAAGTTGCCCTTCTGAAAGGCCTACCTGCAACCAGTGTAACATATCTTGCACAGAAGTTCCAGCAGTACTGTGTGCCACATAGACATCAATTCTTGACTGTACGATAAACATGACAAATTAAAGAATGAAAACAGCTTTAAGGTGATACTGAAAATCAAAACATTTTGTTTTTTAAAGAATTAAAAACTACAATCTCAAATATAAGAGATTAGGATGGAAAGAGAATGCTCTGACTATAACTATGTCCTCTAAAATATGAATAAGCATGGAGAGTGTGGAAGAATACAGCTTGCAATCACGCACAATTGTTAATTTCTTCTTTATGCTTTCCTGAACTTGCAAAATTGTAAATGGCAATAAGACTACCTTTACCAATAAGAAAAAAGTGATATTAGTCTGAAAAATTCAGACAGCCATTACTCCAGAATTGCGGTTTTGAGAAAAGGTCTCCTAGGCAGCCTAGGCTGGCATCAGACTTATGACCCTTCTGCCTTAGTGTCTCACATCCTGAAGTTACAGAGGGTAGCCACAATGCCTGACACTTAAAACCTATTTTCAAAATTTAGCATTGTAAAGTGCATATAGGTTTATAAAGAAAAGGTTATTTCTGTATTTCTGGCCAAAGACTTGCATTTAATAAAACAAGTAAATACATATCGAATATATATGTACATATATCCACATATATGAATTGTTATATATGTGTGTGTATGTGTATGTGAAGGTAGGAGTATATATATAATGAAAACTCAAAACTGGGAAACACATATTTGTTAAAAGAAATATGCAAATATAGTGGCTTAAATTGTGGCAGATCCTCATATGCAATTCTCCACAGAAGATAAAAACAACCATGAGGACACATGCAACCATACTCATTTACTGAAAAGCACTTTTGGTCATCTTGAAAGAAAGGCCCTTCAGAGCTCTAACAAGGTCATTGCTGTGTCTCCCACATCATCCAAATTAAGCACATTGCAAGATCAAAACCACTAAGTGTTTAAATCTATTCTGAGTATCACTATACATACCATATTTAAATTCATCCCATCAAATCCACTCACGAGAAAAATTAAATTTTCACAAAGCTCCTTCAGAATTGCATGGGTACAAAAATGGGTACTCAACCACTTTGTGACTGGATTCTCAGGAAAGAATTCTTTGTGCCCAAGTACGTCCTACAAAATATAAAGAATCCCAAGATTAACTCAGCATTTCCTGCTGGGATGGAAGCTTCCACAACTCCCTGCAGAAGCACAGACACACAAATATCCCTCCCAGTAGCCTCAGGAGCAAAATGGAGACTAGCTGATATTCAAGTGAGTATATACAACAAGTATAGATATGTTAGAGACATGGAATTCAGTTTTAAGAGTGAAATAAAGAAAATTGAATACATTTAGAACAGACTTTTATAAAGGACAAGAGCCAGGACCCTTGGCCCCAGGGTAAACCCCAATTAGTTTTCTGTGATGAATGGTAGTGACTTCTGGACAGTCAGCGCTGGGACTGGTCAGCGCTATCCTAGTCCTGCGTGCATGTACACCAAGAGGAGCCACAGAGGGTTTTGTTCCATAATGATAAAACATGGGTAATGCAAAATGTAACATTTTAATCATTTTATGTGTTTAGTTGCAGCAACTGTAGTCACACTGTTATGCATCAATCACCATTATCCATTTCCAGAACATTCTCAGCCGCCTACTCTCAAACTCTGTTCCCAGTAATTACACTGTCTCATCCCCATCCTCCTGCTCCCATTGTTGCATGCTTTTATAAGAAAAGCTTTACTGAAGCACAGCCACATTATCTGTTATCATTGGCTATTTTTATTCCATAATGGTAGAATGCAATTCTTACAGAAAAAAAATCCAGGTGACCTATCCAATAGTTTAGAAAATAATTATCAAACACTGGTCTACAGTATCCCAAACCAGTGGTCAGAAAATCAGTACTGATAAGGCACTACCAGAGACATTATTCATTTCTTAAGACATAGTGGGCAACAGGAAATGGGGAAATCTCTTTTTATATTCAAATCAAACCTCTCTCTTGCTCATGTCTACCTAGAAGGACAAGTAGGAAAGGAACACAGGTTTAAATTTATAGCTTTGTTTAAAAAAATAGACAGAGTCCTTAACTGCCAGTATTTTTGAATGGCCTTGCTTGGATTTTTGTAGAAGAATCAAGTGAAAATAGACATCCTTAAGGAAAGAGGTAATGTGGACATGGAGATAGATAGGAACAGAGGCAAACACCAAGAGAAGAGAAATGCAGAAATTGGAATGATGCTTCCACCAACAGGAATGGCCAAAGATTGCCAACAACATGAAACACATTTGTCGTCATAGTCTAGCAAACTAATATAATTGGGAATATAAAGATAAATGGGCAGATCTCCAGAGGGCAAGGGCCACCTGCTCAGCTTTAATGATTACAGTGTCCTTTAACAACCTCAGTGGTACAGGGAATAGTTTGGTACAGTGACTATGAGACTGGAATTTTGGCCAGAAAACAGCATATTCCCTTAGTCCAAATTTCCTTTTAAAAGAAATTGGAATATATCCTTCAATAATGATGATAAGCATACCACGATAAAAACTCAAACCAGTGATAGTTACTTATTATCATTATCCAGTATTACGCACTATACATAATTGCATTGCTCGACTTTTAGTGAGGACTGTGAATGTAGTTGGTTGGTTTACACTAGCATCACCAGTTAGGCTGACCTTCAAATTCACTAGGTGACAAGAAATATTCGGCTCTATTATGATCTTACAGGGGTGCCACCCAATATGTGGTCCCTTATTGAATGAAAGCTCATTACATGCTGCATGATCATGTAAATACCTGGACAAGATTTCAATTATGTACATGCTTGTGTAAATGGATAAGGCATCTAATGCAAGAATTAAGGGCCTTCTGTTTTCAGAGAGCTTAAAACAACTTCTCTTGACCGCTATATCCTCCTTGTATAGAACGTGGAACTGCAAAGACAGTGGCTGAGGGCTGATGTGTTTGGTGGCCACATTGGAGAATATAATTAAACAACATCTTTATATCATCATCCTGTGCTGAGGGCTGGGCCTGTGGAAATGGTGCACATCCTGTCTCCCGTCTCCCATCTACTGTTGTGCAAGAACTCATGTCCCTGAATAAAATGCTAGCATCGCTCATGTTTAAATAATATTTCCTCTGTACTGGATAGAGAGCTGGACTAACATGTTAGTTATGAGTACTCACGGCTGCAGTATTCACAAATGCTACGCCTCCAAGGCCCCCAGCCATAGCAAGTAGTGGTGAAGGAAAGAAGAGAAACCCATTGTTCTGCTAAGAGCAAACCCAGGGAAGGACAGCAGAGTCTCCCTCCAAGGAGCAGTGCTTCAATCTGAAGAGGAAATCTGTCGGGAAGAGAAAGAGGGGGGCAAGCCGTGTACCTCAAAGAAAACTTCGGGGAGGATTCTTAACTTCATTATAGGACTGGAACTGAAAACCAGTGAAACCACAGGAGCCAAGGCATAGAACATTTTGATTTTTTTGGCCAGGTCAGGCATCTGTGAAAATCCAACAAAACCTGTAGGAACAAAAGGAAGATAAGAGGAATTCCGTCTTCTAGGAATTTCCTCCTCAGAAAAGACAGGAGAGATCTAGCATCACTTGTGAGGTCCTCCAGAAACAGCCAGAGAAGGGTGGAGAGATACCACCCTGAGGAAGCAGAGCCTCTGAAATGGGGCCCTGGACAGCTGCACACATGGAATTTAATCAAACTGGAAAACATGAGGCATTGCTAAGTGCTTTTATTGAGTCTAAACTTAGACATGCATAGGATGAAATCAAGAATGAGCAAACCCCAAAATCTTTCTGTATTCTTTAACAATGTAAATGTAAGTCTATAACATTTCCTGAGCTCTGCTCTAAATCTTTTGAATCCCCTGGCCCTCCCTTCATCCCTAATTTACAGATTCAAACAGGTCCAAACATTTAGAATTCCCTACAGTGTCATTTAGCTTTCTCTCTGGTCAGTTCTTGCAACTTGGTCTGAGAATGTCACTTTAGAAAACACTGGAGCATCACAAGTAAACTGTCCATTAAAGAAGAAGTATAAATGAAGAATGATGTCCAGTCACATTTTCCTGAACATGAGAAAATTTAACTCAATATATCAGTATGACTAAAAGCATTCATAGTTGTCACAGGAGGGTATCATACAGAGAGCATGTGATATACAGACAGAATTGTTAGTCACTAATCACAAAGAGGATTATTAATTGAATCATGAGGCTGGTCCTTGGACTTTCATTAGAGAAATTTGCTTGTTACAATGATAGACAGTTTGTATTTTCTTTAAAGTTTACTATATTTTATGCTACAAAAACATGCTCATTTTATGACCAGCATAACATAAAATATACATATGGATTTTAAAAATTGTAAATAAAGTCTAACCTGTCAGATTTTATTCTTCTTAAATTTTACCTCTTTCTTTTCCCCCTTCTTTCTCCTTATTCATTTATTTATTTACTTACTTACTCAAATTTTATGTACTGAGGATATCCCAGAGCTTTGTATAAGCTAAACAAGTGATCTATGACTTGGCCACATCCCTAATCCCTCCACTGAACTTTAAAAGTTAGTCTATCCTCTTATTTCCACTTTGAAGTCTCTGACCTTAGAAAACTTCCATTTCTTCAACCTTCTCACATCCTTATATTTTTTAACAGGAAAAATACATGAGAGGATGTGGCTTAGATTAATAGTTTCAGTTTGAAGAGAACCATATATACTGTAATTAGAAATTTATAGCAATTTCTAAGTTTCCATATAAAACCAAATATGAAAATCTTTTTGCCCTTCTATGATTTCTTCTTGACATTTTAAAAAAGAACTGTATTTGAACTTTGTGGCTTTCTTATGTTTCTCTTATAAAAACAACCTAAACTCCATAGTATATCCATTCTATCAACTTCCAGTCTTTACTGCATACATACCGATGGTGGTGCCTTGAGAATGACCCACATAATACAACTGCTTTTGGCCAGTTTTATTCAGAATGTAGTCAATGGAAGCTGGGAGATCATATTTTGCCATCTCATCAAAACTAGAATCCAAAAACAAACAAACAAACAAGATCTTGTTCATTGAACAGTTGCATAAATACAGAAATACTAAGCTTGGAACTTGAACTATTGTCACATATTGAACTGGATACGACAGTGCTGAGCTCAGGAAACTGAACTTTACCTAGGATGACAGAACATCCTTGGATTCCACTGCATATGTGCTTCTCAAAAAGAACAATTACCCTAAACTTTCTCTATACCTTCTGCTTGTCTACTTGGTTTCATCCATGTTGCTGCATAAAAATGTAGTTGCTCAGTCACATTTTATGTTGTTACTACACCACACTCTCATTGCCCATTTAGAATACTCATCTGTGGCATGTATTTAGGTAAATTCCAGACTTTCACTATCATGAACAGGTGACAATAAGCGTTTTCTGATATATGCCTTTTGGTAAAAGTTCTTATTCATGGATTTCATGTCATCAGAGAAACTCTGGTTGTATAAATAGAAGTCAAAACTAGAGATGACCATTGCTAATACCTCCAGCATCAAGCTGTAGCACCAAAGCAGGTAGGTGGAAGTAGGGTCTGTGTGTGTGTGTGTGTGTGTGTGTGTGATGTGGCTGTGTGGCTGTGTGTAGCATCACAATCAGAGGAGCCAAGTGTTCTCATATATTTTACAATAGGCCAGGCTCTGGTCTGTGAGGTTCTTTACCTGTATCTTCTACTATCAGCCTTCTATAAACCTTATGAGATAGACGTTCATTAGTCCATGTCATAAATAATCAGATGCCAGGGTTTATATTATGTATCCAGTGTCATATGGCACCGATTGGTGGATTCAGAAGGAAGAACAGAAAATAGATTCTAAAAGGAAGAAAAGTGAACATCTGGCAAATGTGTTTGTGGAGGAGAGGAACAGTAGCTGACTCCAAAGTCCCATACCACAAAGAATGCCAAAATTCCCAGCTGAATGTCATTATGAATGTAATTGTTTCTCTAATTTAACTTAATATTCATTATTAAATTCCTGGTAAGGTTTACAACTTCAGAGTTATTTATGGAAGGACTCTTCTGCTGAAGTCCTGGATATCATTCGGCTTTTTAGGTGTCACAGAAATGAACTCAAGTCATAATCAACTGCAATGTACCTGAAAGCCCAGAATTCATCCTGAGAAACTGAGAGAGTCTTGTGTTTCCGAGACCACGTGTTTCCTCTACTGTTCCCCATCCACACATCAAAACCAGCATCAGCAAGCATGAATCCCAGGCTGTTGTTGTCGGTGTTTGCAACCCAGTTACTGGAATCGGCTAACACACCATGCTGAAGGTAGACAACTGGTTTGGGAACTGAAAAACATTCATGTTTAAGGATAGAAAGTATAAGTTTCACAACAAACATGATGTCTTGATGACCACAAAATTGTTTTAGAAATACCAAAACAAACAAAGAACTTGAAATAAATTAAAATAGGAGTGAGCCCAGCATCAGTTACTCATGCCTGATATCAGAGCTACTTAGGAGAAGATCTGAGGATTGCAGTTACAAATCAGCCTGGACAGAAAAAATCCCTGTCACATTCTTATCTCCAGTGAACCACTCAAAAGCTAGAAGTGGCACTGTTGCTCAAGTTATAGCACTAGTCCTAAGCCCAAAGATGTTCAGGGAGTTGGCCCAGGCCTTCAGTTCATGCACCACAACTAAAAAAAAAAAGTATTGAAATGGAATTTTGCATTTGTATAACACTATAGACGTGGTTTAAAGAATACTAACAAAATAGAACCAAAATTGGATGTGTGTGTATGTATGTGTGTGTTCGTGTGGGGAAGAGGGCATTGGGGAGACTCAAATTCAAGGCCTGAATGCTGTCCTGTAGCTTTTTTGCTTAAGGCTATTGCTCTGCCACTTGAGCCATCGCTCTATTTCTAGCTTTCTGTCAGTTAATTGATTATAAGTGTCTATGAATATGTCTTGACATAAAGAATATATACAGGGGCTGGGAAGGTGGCTCAATGGTAGAGCGATTGCCTTGCATGCCTGAGGCCCTGTGTTTGATTCCTCAGCTCCACATAAGCAAAAAGAAAAAAGCCGGAAGTGGCTCTGTGGCTCAATTGGTAGAGCATTACCCTTGAGCTGAAGAGCTGAGGGACAGCGCCCAGGCCCAGAGTTCATGCCCAATGACCGAACCGCCCCCCCCACCCAAAATAGATTATATACAAAAGGTAGCATAGAGGAAAAGCACTTGCCTAGAAAATGCAACATCTTAGGGTCAATCCCATTACCAAAAAGAAAAGACCAAAAATATAAACATATATACAAAAGATAAAAATCTATGAACATTTTTATGTGATCAGGTTGGCTGTAATTTAAAAGCTATCTAAAGATTTTGGTAAGATTTAAGATTAACACAATAACATAAAATGAGTTCCTCATTCTCTATTAAAATAACTGCTTGTGTAGTATGAACCTTATCAAGAATTGAACA